TTTATGCTTTTATTTGTGCCTTTGATTCTGTCTTGACTCCTGGCAACTGCCTGGACAAGTTCCTGCAGTTTTCTTGGCAAGGTTTTTCAGAAGTGGCTCGCCCTGGCCTGCTTCCCAGGGCTGAGAGAGCAGGACTGGCATAGGGTCACCTAGCAGGCTTTGTACCGAAGGCGGGACCAGAACTCACAATCTCCCAGTTTCTAGCCTGGTGCCTTTAATCGCTACACCAAACTGGTTTTACATCTTTTACAAGTGCTTTATAAAATATTTGAGTTACTCTAGCTTAGCAGGCATTTTACTGTTATCGTGAGCAAGAGCGATTACAAAGAAAAGAAACGCAGCTACTTGGTTGCAGACAAGTGCTAGGTTCACAGTCCTGCATGTTCCAAAGCACCTTTTGGGGATCAAATCTGGAACTCTGCACTCTCCAAGTCGTCATCATTTTTTAAAAAACACAACGGTGTGAGTACAATGCAGTTCTCTGTGTCTCATAATATGAAATGCCCATCATTTCCCATGAAATACGCTCTTGTGCTCTTGGTTTGACTGCTAAGTACTGGCCTTGTAAGACACAGCCACTGTGGATCCAATTGTGTTGGACATCATTTGATTATTTTCCCCCCAATTCCTTAACTTGAGTGCTCTTATTCCAGCCTTAGGGCAAAGACTAAGTTGAGGAAACCAAGTACTAAGTGTGTGAGTGTGACATGGGAACAGTATGACTAAGTCTACTTTCTTGCTGAAACTTTCCCCACCCTGGCATATTCCAGATATACAGGACTTCTGGAAGTTGTGGTTAAACCTATGGGGGCGGGGGGGAATGGGATAAGGTTGGGGCAGGATGTCTTCATGGTGATGATAAGGCTCTGCAGTTGCCTTAACAAAGCTTTACTTTTGGTAATTTGGGAATCATCCGGATTCCTGCCATAGTATTTAAGCTCCTTATCAAAAACAATTTGATAACATATTCTAAGGTTTTGCTTGTTCAGATAGAACTTTAAACTGGTAGCACCAAGGGGCAAGTTGCTATATTAATGCCCTACTCAGAATTGAACAAAAAGTTTCCTTTCTTTGAGGTTTAGGAAACTTGTATGGGGAAAAAAATAGTTACAGGTTTATTTAGGTCTGCATTCTAAAAGGCCATGATTTAATACAGAGGAAGGCAAGCTAGCTATTTTGGACTAATCTCAACATTAGCTAGATGATTACAGGGTATGGGTATTGCACCAGTTTGTCTACTTCTAATGTCATATTCCTCTATCAAAATAGCATCGTTAAGTAGCATTGTAACCTTTATTAGCATAACTTCTACACTGATGAGTAAAACTATGATTCATTTTAACATCCAGTAAATATCCTGATTTGGGTTAGTAATGTCTTAAATGCCATTGAAGACCTAACTGCAGTTTTTATTTATTTATTTTACAACGCAGTGAACCTGTCTGGAGTATTATAAATAGCAACGCTTTGAATAATCGTTGGCCTTGCTAATTAGTGTTTTGATAAAATCCAACACAGACGAGACAGGGATATATGAACATATAAAAGAATACTGTAGTCAGTTTGTAGCCGCTTGCCAATTCCCATATCTACAGTACAATTTCTAAAGTACAGTCTTCTGGATTGTGGCTGTCACCTAGAACAGTGTTTCTCAACCCCAGCAGCTTTAAGATGGGTGGACTTCAACTCCCAGAATTCTGGGGAATTCTGACTGGGGAATAATGGGAGTTGAAGTCCACACTTCCTAAAGTTGCCAAGATTGAGAAACACTGAGCTGGAATGCTAGCAAGACCAACTTCGCACTTTCAGGGTTGCTGTTTTAATAACAAGAGCCCTGCTAGATTGATTCAGAGATCAATCTAATTCAGTGCCACCTAATCACATTTCTTTTGGGTGCTTAATAGCACTATATGAAGACACATGCCTACTCTTTTTTTGTTGGTTCCCTGACCCACTCCTGTTCATGCTTCTTTATTCATAATTCACTATCCTTTTTGATATAGCTGTTAATGCCAGTGAAGTCATCTGATTTAACCTATTTTGTGAACTTTGGAGGCAAGCAGATAGCGTATGTGCTTTGGGATGTGGGAAATCCCAAAGTGCTTCATGTCCGTATTCAATGATGACGTTTTGCTGCAAGGCCTCTGGAGGATCCCCTACGCCAGTGTTGTCCAAACTTGGTCACTTAAAGATGAGTGGACCTAAACTCCCAGAATTCCCCCCCCCCCCAGTGTGTGCGGGGGGGGGTGTGGGGGGGTGGTGCCGCACCTCCAAAAACGAAAAGAGGGGGAGCCCCTCCCCCGGGGGGATGTCCCCGGG